AGTTTTCAGAGGACCACCCAAACGGCAAATTTTGAGGTGTTAGTTATTCTTAACTTTTGCTTAGTGTACTTCTTTTCCTTATCCATCCTCTTGTTCTTCTTCTCCTTCATCTTTCGTCAGAAATTCACGTTATTTATACACATATAAAATTTTTGAATTTAAATAGTGATGTTGTATTTTATTTCACGCAAGAGAAACTGTCAATGTTGCATTTGACCTAATGCAATGTTCGGGTAAAAATAACAGTTAAACAGTTGTCTTCTTATGTTAGTGGTTTCAGCCCGTGTGTATCGTAGCAGGCGAGGTCATTGTTATTAGTTCGATTTGTGTAAATTTCTGCACAATGGAAATTACATACAAAGCCTTAGCTGATATCCTAATATTGAAAGGAACATTGAATATCCTGGTTGAATTTGTGAAAGCAAGGTTCTTAAATGAAGAAATTGACATTTAACCCAACTAACATTGTCTGCTTTGTAAGTCAACTTTTGCAGCGTTGTGCTGTAAAGTAGCTGAAAAAAGCTGCAGATACAGCTACAAGCAGAAGCTAGCAAAATTGTTTTGTAGAGCGTTTACTCAACATTTTCACAACCATTATTCAATTTACCAATCTCACTGAATAACAACAGCCAATAAACGCTAATGTCACTTTTATACACATCCTAATCAACTTTCAACTTGTGGCTGCAAAACAAAGCTAATAAAGTGAATATATTACTCATTTGTTGGCTTCTACACAACCAACCACTCTTGCTGAATAACATAAACATCAAAAGTGCTTTTTCAACAACTAAACATCCTGTACTCTGCTAATAAACTGTGTTAGAGCTACTTCGGAAGCATTTTCACAGTCAACTAGGTTTATTTTTAGACGTGTGCAGTTTTACAGCTTTTACTTTGCTACTATACAAAGCTGAAGTAACTAGTCGAGAAAAGTGATTCATGTGCACTTATTATAAAGCATCTACTCAGCGTTTTTGTTGAAGAACGGCATGTTGATTTCCCAACAAACAATTTTAGCTACATACTAGCTTATACAGGCAGAAATTAGCTGTATAATCCAATTTTTGGTTTTATAAGCTAATCTACAGCTAAAATTGTTTGTTGGGTTGTTTACGTCAGTTTAAAGTGTTGGCATAGCACAGTTGGTAGTGTCAAGGTTTGCCAATGCGGTCGTCTCGAGTTCGATTCCAGGTTCCTGTGTAGGGTAAAATAATTTGGTGATAACTTGTAACTAATTTAAACTCAATAAATTCCTCCATAAAAAAAATCGTAAACAGTATTTAACCCGGCTTCAAGAGAAAGCTGTGTAGTGATTATTGGATAACCGAGAAAAGGTTGAATAAGCGTCTTTCAAGTTGACACACAGCTAAACAGCAGGATAACAGCTGTATAGAAGCGTTAATGGATACGCAATAAGAGCTTGTCCCAACTGTCCCAACAACCATAATTAGCTGACTAAGCTCGCCAGATTTGCTTGTATAGAGGTTGAGTAAAGGTTTCCTCATATCGTATAGTGTTTGAATACAGCTTAAGGCTTTATAAATGAAATGAGTAAAGCGTTTACATTGTGAAAATTGTTAGTTGGGAAAAGCCCTGTAAGAATTTGCAGTTATTCGTTTTGGAGTAAGTATATTATTTTCACAACAGTATTACTACCTATAATCCCATATCAATCCCATATGGAAAAAGTAGGCATTGAGAAAATTGCAGTTGAAGTTAGGATGTGCAATTTCTATGTAAATATTAAAAAAAATCATAGTAAATTAATCGATAATTTTGTCAATTTAAAATAAGTTCCAATGTAGCTGCATGATTTGTTATATCAGCGAAAAATATGGCAATTTAAAAAGCAGAACTGTAACTTGACCTCTGGACGATTGCATTCCAGGATGGGACTGATATGCGATTACTTTGCTTAATAGGACAAACTGACTTGATGTTGTTTTCACATTTTTTTCCTGATTAAAGTCCGTAGTTTTATCACATAATATAAAAGTAGATGCCAATTAATAGTGAATAGCGTTCTTAAAATAGGCAAAAATCCATATGGGACTGATTTGCGATTATAGGCAGATTAGCATAGAAATAACTCTAAGACTAGAAGGTCCCGAAATAACGTGCTCAACTTTTTGGCTCAGCTCTGGTACTCTCTTTGGTCCCAAGCTAATCGATTCACCCCTCGAAACAAATTATTTTATCTGTCAAACTTTCGTAGCGAATCAAAACAAACATAGTGTAGTACTAGAATTTCGACTAGAATGGGGTCGACTGTGTTAAAAATAAAATGATGATTTTGGCCAAGGTATACTGTGGGATATTGAGTACCCTTCATCGGTTTCTTTGTGCAGACCAATACAATTATTATTTCAAAAGGAATGAAGTGAATTGACCAAGCCCGAAGTGTCTGTTTTCGAGCAAAAGGTAATTTGTTATTTGAAAAAAATCTGATTATAATTTTGGTAACATTCCAGATTGAGAAATTACAACCATCAATTTGTGATGTTGGTGAAAAACTTGTAAGCGTCACGAATAAAATGCTTTTTATTATGGCAGACACGAAAGTTATAAGCGACGTTACCGGAACAGCGTCCCTAGCATGTTACATCTGCGGTCGTTCTGGGAAAAAGTTGAGCAATTATCAAAATGAAACAGATAATGATCCTGAACGGTTTCAACATGCATTTTATCCTTTGCATGCGTACATCCGCTCAATGGAGCTTTTTCTTAAAGTGTCCTATAGGTTGTGCATGGAAACACCTGTTTGGCGGGTCCCTAAAACTAACACCGCAGTAAAAGACAGGAAAAAGTATATTGCCACAGAACTAGGCAATCGGCTGGGGCTTCGGATAGTTTAACCGCTGCCTGGAGGGGGAAACTCCAACGACGGGAATACCAAATCAACTACGAAGCATATCATTCTTACGCAGAAGAAACGCGTAGGTCATATGTCATTGAATATAGATGATATCCGCTGTCGCCAACGGTCCATAAATTATTGATTCATGGAGCGACATTGATTAAGCACACCATGCTAACAATTGGTATGTGCAGCGAAGAAGCGCAGGAAACACGAAATAAGTCGATTAGGAAATTTCGAGAATTTTATGCGTGAAAGTTCAATAGACTCGTTAATATTGAAGATATATTTTTGAGATTGCTTTTGACATCAGACCACCTTATTCTCCTTAGAAATAGAGCTTCATCAAATCAATCTACTTTAGAATTACCGGATAATGCAAAAAATATCTGCTGGCGGATTAGATTTGTGTTAACTTTTAATTTTAATTAAATAAATTGATTAATTAATAAATAATAAAAACAATTAGATAACAAACAAAAACATAACATACATAAACTTGAACGAATACTGAACACGAAAAGAAAATTTGTTTGCTGGCCTACGCATTGGAATGGCAAATAGTGTAAGTTGTCCAAAACTCCCAAAATTTCAAAAACTTTGGCTTCAAATTAAGAAAGAATTTTATACTTTTTTTTTCTTTACCAAACTACCCCTTTCCTTGATGGCATTAAGCCGGGAAAGTTTACTAAAATTTTTCCTGGATGATGGATCACTCTCATCATCCGTGAGCAAATCAAATTGATTTCTCAAATTTATTTCATCCGAAGGGAGATCAAGAGATTGCCCTTTTCTTTTGCGCTAAGTCGCCATAGCGACAGTAATTCGTTTATCCTAATCGACTTCCAAGCAGATTACTATAAGAATCTGAAGGATCGAGGAGGAATTTTCCAAATCGATATCCAAGAAGGATCACCTCGGGTAGGGTCCAAACAAGGATCGAAGAGGAGTAAGAGTCAAACAAGGTAGAAATTTTACAGGTAAATATTGAGCATTGAAAAGTACTGTTTAAATTTGTTGTAGCTTTAGGTAGTAGTAACACTTCCTTCAGCGAAAAGCAAATAGATTCACACGGCAAGAGAGCACAATGCGGACTGGGACAGTCATTGAGAGTGAAGAACTTATATAAGTTTAACTTATATATTTTCCAGTTTCATATATAATATACACTGAAGTATGTCCTTTCAAACGATGGCTAAAGAATGTCTGTACGTTTGCTCCATTTTGAGTGGTTGATAGGTTGATAGGGCTTATTTTGTATAGAAAATCTTATATATATTTTGATAGTCGAGAGTTACAGGTTTACTTTCTTCAGCAAAATTGTGTATTTTGACGATTTCTATAAGTTCTTTTTGGAAAGTTTTTACGAACAATTTTAAATAAAAATGTTAGAGCTAAAAAACAGATATTTTTGGGTGCACCCTAACGCAGTTCAGAAAAATTCTCTAAAATGAAAACGGAAAGGGATACAAAAAAACTTTTTTCGATAAAGTTGCTTGAAATTAACTCAAGCACAACTTCTTTAAACAATGTGTGTCTTTATTTTTTAAATAAGAATGTTATTTTTCGGATATCAGTTTTTCAGAATGTTAAATTTTTGTGAATTGTTGGATGATTTAAATCAATATATCTGGAAACGGGCCTGGAGTAGTGGCTAGCAATCATGAATAACATAAAAATCCTATACAGGAATTGATGTTTGAACCGAAAAACTCATCGGTGATTTTTGTGCAGGCGAATTTCACAAGGCACAGCGTTTGACTGGCTACATATGTTTTAAATAATACTGAAATACGTTAGGTACCTATCTTTCTAGAAGATTATTTAAAGAAAATGAGCTTGGCGACAACATTGACGATCTAATGCTTCTCATACAAAAACACTTTGCTTTCAGCCATCTGGTTTGTTAGTATAAAAAAAAAAAGAAACGGAACAGCATCTAGAGCCAACCAAGCATTCTCTACTCATCTTAAAGGCAAATTAGTTTCCATTAAACGTTTAACATTCTATGCTTGCCGAGCACAGCACACATTCAATAAATTCTTGCTCCAAATCGGAATGCCAGAGCTTAGCATAGCGTTATGCTATTTATGATTCATGCCGAGCGATTGGCATGTTTGCAACCCATTGAATTATGTACCTCGTGTAAGTCATCAATCATCGACTGTGTCATATCCGTATCGTGCAGAGCGTCGTCTATCTCCTCCAGTATTCCGAGAACTTCCCTGGTTTTCGCTGCATACACGTTTCCGATTTCCGGCTGCTGTTGCTTCAAACTCTCTCGTGACAGGTTGGCAACGTTAACGTCTTGTGTCAATATGCTCTGCTCGTTGGTGCACAGGAGCCAATTTTGCTCACGTTCGTTGTAGAGTCTAATGCCATCACACCAGATGTGCAAATATTTTCTCAAATCCGCAGGATCAAACGCATTCGGTAAGCCATTGCACCGCATGTACTGCTCCCACTGAAATAATTATGGGTGTTTGATGAGTATCTGACCCGGATGCTGCGATCCCCTCCACCGCGTCTACTATTTAGCCTACTTCGGTGTGTACTCATATAGCTAGACGTATCGAAACCAAGACAAAGTGGTTTCTGGTTAGAGCTAATACCACTCAGAGGGTGTGCTTATTCTATCTACGTGAATATATAAACAGAGATGAATAACACAGGATCCAACCGCGAGGATGTGAACGTGAAGAGAAGCTAAAAGCAATCGAACCCAATTTCTACCAAACTAGCAATCAGCTGTTACTAAAACATGAAAAACAAACGGACGAACCATACCTCTCGATCCTTCTTCTGTTGTCCATGCAGATGTTTGACCTCATCTTTAATTAAGGCAAAATACTTGTAGCTATCCTGGAGCTGGACCTTCCTCAGTTTGTTGGCGATTATTTCTTGGACCTGCTTACGTTCGGCTTCCTCCTTCTCGCGAACTTTGCGCATTTTTTCCTCTTCGACTTTTCGCTGCCGTTCCCGTTCGAGTTCCATCCGCTGATGCTCGGCCTGTTCGGCCTCCAGGCGGGCTCGTTCTTTTTTCGACATCTTCTTTTTGGGACTCTGTGTAAACAATTATACACCAAGCAATACAAAGGCCCAGGGGGATGGGGAAATCGAGGAGAATGTTGATGGGTTTGTGGGGGGGAAGGAGAAAGAAAACAAAGAAGATAACACACACTGTAACTCGGTGATGTAATTTAATTTTTGGTTCTGACTGTCCCAGCAATACGGGTAGCTCGAGCGAAAAGAAGAAAATCGATATCAACTACCATTTTGGAGAAAAGTCGAATCCAGACTAAACTGCGGTTCCGAGCTGCTTTCCACGTTCCACCTTTTCTTTACATAACAAATGGCCAATTATGCACTTTTATGTACTACATAGATTCTACCGCATGGGACACTCAAGGATCCGGTTGAACCGAAAAGGACAATCGTCGAACAAAAAAATCACCATATATCCGAACGCATTAACTTCTGTAACTTCGGCACTGAATCCAAAGGGGTACCTATAGCGTGTGTGAGCTGCGTCGGTTGTTATAAACACAGTTGTTCCCCTTTCCCTGGATACCGAAAGCATACCCTCTGGGTCTAATACGATGAGGCATATTATGGTGGGAAATTAGGCATACCGTTTTTCCCTTTGATCCCCGGGAGTTTGGGATTTAGCTATATTGCATTGTTTTAGTAGGCCGCATCTTACAGGCAAAGGGGTTCGACATTTCGATGGAACGCGTGATTCGGTGTGGTTTGCGTTTTACATTCATAGTTGCCCCATGGTAAGTGGTGTTTGTGAAAACTCGCAGCCGGGGGTGGGAGATTTCATACGGATATGAATAAAGTTTGTAAAATTATTGCATTTTTCCACGAAAGCAGAAAGTGAAAATTGTTATTCTGTTACTACTGGCTAATAGGAGCAGACTGAACAATTTACTCGGCACAAGAATTTCTGGCAAAATAAGCTTCAAGTAGAACTTTTGAGTTATATCAAATACGATTTCATTACAATAAATGAGGTTCAAGGGTTTAATCGTTAAAAGGATTAAAGATTTGTTTTTAGAAATGAATTTTGAATGTCTTGATATTTTCCAGATATTATCTAACACTTCTATAAGATTTTTTCTACAGCAGTGTTTTGAAACCATCGGCGGGACGTGGGCTGTTCTTGGATGGGACGCAGGAATTCATGCGTTCTTATATTTCACGAAAAAATTTAATCTTAATTTCTAATTAGGGAGGTTTTTTTGAAAATTGTGTTTATTTTTTTGCTTGTAAAAGCGAATTGAGTTTTACATTATTAAAGTAATGCTAGAAAAAATAATAATTTAATCAAAATTTCTTTGATTGCTTGAATCATGATCTGTATAATGTTTTGTTGATATTTGAATAATTTTAAAACTGCTATTATTTTTAGTTTTCCTTAACCATTAACTATACTCATCATTAAGGTTATCAGGTTGTGATTAGCGTGTGATCTAATATTTAACAATTTATATCGTTAATAAGCGGCAATTAATTAACGCAAATTATTAAAGGTATTGAATTTTATCTTTGACATGCTTCTTAAGTTGATGTCAATGTTTTTTTTTTCCAGATAGGCATATTCTAGGCTTTCTTCAGAGTTCTTTTAAAATTCCCATGATTAATGTTGGGTTCACTCTTAAATTCCCTTGAAATTTACTGCACAACATTATATATTCAATTTATCTGCAAAATACTAATAACATGCTCTCCTCTGGTATACCCAACTTTGTAGCATTTCTTTGTAAAACATTATTGAAATTTTATCAGAATAAAAAAAAAAAACTGGGTTTCACTTTACAATTCTATTTGAATCCGCTATTGACATATTCCCTAGATTTGTTTGGCACATGCTTTAGAAACCAAGGAATTATTCTCAGAGTTTTCATAAATTGGCCACATAGCTCGAATTAAAGACCATTTTTTGGAAACATTTCATTAAATAAGAGCAGTGTCCATACGGAGATGAACTAGCCTACGACCTAAATAAAACTTTGAAAAAAAAAACAAACAAACAATACCATCCACTTTGCCAAATAAGTGGATGTGAAAAATAATGCAATATGTCTAGATAAGTTGTAGAAAATATTTATAGATGAGACTTTGCAGAGGATGCTACCTATTACTAGCTGACGTTATGCGGGGAATTAAAATATTATTTTAATTTGGTTTTAGTCGTTGTAAAGTCAATGTTATTGTATATGCCCAACTAACAATTTTCGCAATTTAAACGCTTTACTCATTTCATTTATACAGCCTCAAGCTGTATTCAAATGTTATACCGTATGCGTGATAATGTTTGCACCATCGAAAAAATAAGGTTCCCGTTTACCTGTGCATACAATGCCTTGGTTTTCTTTGCATGCACGTAACCTATAGCTCATACGGTAGTAGGCTGTGTTTAAATGAAAATGATTTACTTAGTTTGACAGTTGCACCATGACGAAGTGGCAGCGTATTCGTCATTTGTGTCACGCGCAAATGTCGCAAAAAGACATTTCAATCACCGTGGGAGTGTCCCGGTGGACCGTCAAAAGGGTTTTAGACCGAGAAGAGAAGGAAAACTATCAAATATAATATATCAAATTCCAGAATCGACCGGTATATTAGTTCTCTTCCGGTAAAAGACGTGGCCGACGAGCACAAGAACGTGTATCTGACAAAGCATCCTGCTAGCGTTATGGTGTTTGGATTGGTGGCTTCCGATGGCAAAAAATGGACCCGGTGTTTTATTCCAGAAGGCGACAAGTAAGTATGTTCTTCCGTGGATCAAAGAACAGTACGGACCGAAGCCAAATGTTGTATTTCAACAAGATGGGGCTCCGTGCCACACCTCGAACCGCACTCAGAAATGGTTACAGGAACATCATCCGTTCTGGGCGAAGGATATGTGGCCGCCATCCAGCCCCGATCTTAATCAGCTGGATTACTCAATATGGCGCGTCATGAAGGCCAAGGCCTGTTCTAAACGCCACCCGAGTACAGCAAGCCTCAGACAAACATTGACCCGTACCTGGAGAGAAATTAATCCAGACTACATTATTAGAATCTGCCGTGCATTCCGGAAGCGTGTGGAGGCCGTCATTGCAGCAAGTGGAAACTTGATCGATGATTAACATAGTTTAAGACTCTGAGAAACATCCCCCCTTTGAACAAATAATAAAAAAAAAAAATAAAAAATGCAATTTTTGAGATTTTTTTTTTTAATTTTTATGAATTTTTATTTTTTTAATTATTAACATTATCACGCATACGATACGGTACGATATGAGGAAACCTTTACTCAACCTCTATACAAGCAAATCTGGCGAACTTAGTCAGCTACTTATGACTGTTGTGACGGTTGGGACAAGCTCTTATTACATATCTATTTACGCTTCTATAGAGCTGTTATCCTGCTGTTTAGTTGTGTGTGAACTTGAAAGGCGCTTACTCAACCTTTACCCGATTATTCAATAATAACTTCACAGCTTTCTCTTGACGCCAGGTTAAATATTGTTTACGTTTTTTTGTTGTTGTTGGAGGAATTTATCATGTTTATTTTACTGCGAATCAAATTAATCGAAATTATTTATAAATAAGTACACCACCAAATTATTTACGCTCTACCGGAACCTGGAATCGAACTCGAGACGACCGCATTGGCGAACCTTGATACTACCAACTTCGCTACGCCAACGCTTTGAACTGACGTAAACAAATTTAAATGCCCTTCTACAATAAGATTGCTGAGTTTGGTCTCTTCAGCGAAAATAAGCACAATTTAAATTTTTGATAGTGCTTCGAATAAAACATTTCCATGAATCAATGAATAAATAGTTAAATAATAGTAGTATGTAGTTAAATTTACGTTTATTTTCTGGTTTTTTTTTTATGTTTCAACATTTGGTTTAACATTTCAATTGGTTAGCGTTTGGCTCTTCATCTTTGTTCTAGTTAATTGATTATTCTAATGTGATGATTGCGTTAAGCCGAAGACAACAAATCAAGAAGACTGGCAACTCTTCCATTTCCTCATACGAACGCTATGAGACAGGTACAATCGCGTCATCTGCCGCTCAAAGGTAAATGCTTCGAACGAATTTTATAGTAAAGATTACATCCTCAGACGAAGGGTTTGTGTATTTGCTCATTTTTCTATGCGTTGGTTCACTCAAGCGCAGCGCTACTGTATCTGTCGCTTGGATTCTGGCAAAGTTGCCAGTCTTCTTGATTTGTTGTCTTCGGTTTAGCGCTAATTTACAGGATACCCTTTTATGGGAATGTTTTCATTTGAATTTAAAAATTTGATAACCTACCTACTTGAGCACACGAACTTACCTAACTACTTAAACTAGGTTGCCAAATCATGAATGATCTGGTGGTTTGATCACAGACAGGCGACTCTTTCCAGCGTGGAAGTCTTTCGCTCCTTGAGTGTTTGAAGACCGGCCATGTGGTGAATCTTAGAATTAAAAGTTCGCGGACTGTTAAGGATCATTCGGAGGATCTTGTTTTGAATCCTCTGAAGCTTTAGGTGGTGGCACTTAGCACAACTCTCCCAGATTGGCATACCATACTAAATAGCCGGCAGAATGATCTGCTTGTGGACAGCAAGCTTGCTTTTGAGGGACAGGGTGGACTTCCTGTTTATCAGAGGGTAGAGCGACCTGATCAAGAATTACACTTGGTGGATGTCTTGTCCACATGTTATCGGAATGTCAAGATGGATCTTGACGATAGCAGGCGGAACAAGCCGAGGTGAATTCGAGTACAGAATGGTTTGTGTTTTAGCTGCATTGATACAAATCTTCCATCTCTTGAAATATTCGGACAGAACATCCACGCTTGATTGTACACACTTAGATTTTTTCGCCGAGATGGGCACCACCGAGCAGCTCGGCATTTTATTTTGCTGGATCTCAATGAAACACTTGCCGAGATTCAGCTAACAAACGGGAATTTTGCCGAGATCTCAGCTAACAAACATATTTTTTTGCTGAATTTCCAGCAAAACAAAATGCCGAGCTGCTCGGTGGTGCCCATCTCGGCAAAAAAAAATCTAAGTGTGTAGCTTACTCGCCAGAGCACGGATCACTCGACCCTTATAGATGATGGAGGATTCATCTGCGAACATTGACAGGATACCACCACCCGGCAGGGGAGGAACGTCGGACGTGAAAATGTTGAATAGGATAGACCCAAGCAGCCTGCCCTGAGGAACCCCTGCATCAACGTTGAACGTATCAGAGGGGACATTGTTCAAGTAGACCTGGAATGATCTACTCGACATGTATTTTTTGATAATCTTCACGAGGTAGATCGGAAAGTTGTAT